GCACACGCTGAGATCACACGAACCCAGACAGGTGTTCATCCAACCTCTTTTTGAATTTACCCAAGGTAGGAGCAAGGACCACTTCCCTAGGAAGTTGGTTCCAGATCCTAGCCATCCTAACAGTGAAATAGTGCCTCCTAATCTCTAACCTGAACCTATTCTCCAGCAGCTTCTGGCCATTGTTCCTCGTCACCCCAGGTGCTGCTGGGGGGAATAGGACCCTTCCTACTTGCTGCTGATCTCCCCTAACGAGTTTGTAGGCAGCCACCAAATCCCACCTCGGCCTCCGCTTGCTGAGGCTGAACAGGTTCAGGTCCGTCAGCCTCTCCTTGTAGGACCTGCCCTGTTGCCCTCCAACCAAGTGGGTGGCCCTCCTCTGAACCCTCTCAAGGCAGGCCACATCCTTCTTAAAGTGCGGTGCCCAGAACTGGACGCAGTACTTCAATTGAGGCGGGACCAATGTCGCGTAGAGGGGGAGTATCACCTCTCTGGACCAGCTTGAGGACATTGAGCAGTCTCATATCTCAGGTTTCTTGACTGCTTGTGATGGAGCAGATAAGTCTATATCTGTCCATTGCAAGATCCTGTAGGGTTGTCAGAAGCCATTTGTGCAGAACTGTTGGAGGCTGCCTTGATGGCATCAAAGCTGCTGTGAATTCATATATGTATGTATTTTTAGACCAGACCAAAATGTTGAGTCTAAAATAGGGCAGCATTTAACCAAGTTCTCCAGCATGTCAGTACAGGCTCTGATGGCAAGAGCTTGTCAGTCAGAATTACTTGGTAGTGTTGTATCCTCAGTGGCAGACAAGGTTCTTTGGGCAGATCTGGTATCTCTTATTAAACCAACTTAGATAGTTGCACAAAATTATTCTTTGCAGGCTTTCGGGCACAAACACCCTTCGTCAGGCTATGGAAGCATCTGCAGTTGGTGTGTGCTCTGCCTGAATGGAATGAATAGTAAAGAAGCCAGAGGCTGGTATGCATGCAAGAAAGCCAGCCATTGACAATGTAAATCAGAGTCAGTGAGTGAGAGACAGGGTGAGGGGATGAATGTAGCTGGTCAGTAGTGGAGAGATACCAATCTCAGTTCTAATACTCGAAGGGAATTTACCAAACACCTTTCACAGACAAGCCTACAAACGTCACTTCATCAACCTACTGAATAGAAAAAATCATGGACTAAATATAGACATTGGATTTATGACACATTATAACCTGCCTAACATCTGACTCCCCAGGTACTTCTCCACTATTTACCAGCTGTATTCATTCCCCTTCCTTCACCCCCTAAGATCTCTCTCGCCCATTGACTCCGATTTACATTGTCACTGACTGGCTTTCTTGCATGCATGCCAGCCTCTGGTTTCTTCACAATTTTTCCATCCAGGAAGAGCACACACCAACTGCAGATGCTTCCTCAGTCTGATGAAAGGTATTTGACCCTGAAACCTTGAAAAGAAGAATTTTTCCAACTATTTGAGTTGGTCTAGTAAAAGATATCAGATTTATCCAAAGAACCTTGTCTACCTATGTCCTTAGAGCAACACAGTTACAACCTATACCCCTGTATCCTCAGTGGTGCTTCTATAAGCACTTTCTTTCACACTTGAAATGATAGAGTTTACAGCTGAAAACTCATATCTCACTTGTTCAGGAACCCAGTTGAAACCACGTACCAATCTGGTGAGGGGCAATAAGTGCAGATAGAACACTTGCAGTGCTGTGGCCATTTTCAGCATATAGGCTGCAGCAAGGGGTATTCAAGGGACCAATGGGCAAGCTTAAACAGGATTAATTTGTATTACATGTAGTGCAATATTTTGGGGCTTTTCAACTGAAAATAGCTATGTAGTGGACAGTTGGGATCACATACACAAGAACTAGGCATAATGAAGTCCAAAGTTGCTGTTTTCTTTTGAAAACCCTTGAAAAATTACGTATTTTGTCACAGTGTTGATTGTTATTATTTATCTAATCATCATTATGCCCTAACCCCTCTATATTAATAAAAATAGTGTCTTATGAAAACTCTGATAGTTTGCATGGCCAGAGAAATAGTATGCATTTGCATATAAATCCTAGTATCTAGATATTAGTCTTCCCCAAAAAATTAAAAAGAATACCAATTAGGGTAATCTGTATTTTTAAAAGAAAACATGTTCATTCATAAATTGGCTTACATGTATTAGTATTGCTAGTTCTGTTTAATTTTTCATTTGTTATTGTTATACTAAATATAAGTATTTCCTTTTAAGATACAAGGATGAAAGTGATTATGCTTTACGTTACATGGAGAGCAGCTGGAAAGAGCAACAGAAAGAAGAAGCCAGGAGGTATGCATTCGGTTTAAGTCTTGATAGCAAGAAAGTGGTGTACATTTCTTGCTTACTACTTCAGTCTGTGTCATATGGCTAAGTTAAATGAACACTTGTTAATTAAATTTGGTCCTTAATAAAATACCCAGTTCCTGTATAGCACTTAGCAGAGGAGATATTGGTAATTGAGGTTCAGTGAGGAAGGGATATCTTACAGTCCTGTCCTGACTTTAGTAAGGCCAGTGTCTCCCATGACATTCCCATTAACAGGCAAAGTAAATACAGACTAGACAAAACTACTGTAAGGTAGATTCAACGTAACTGGTTTGATCACCTTATTAAGTAGTCATCAGTGGCTTAATTCCAGTTGGGAGGAGGTATCAAGTGGGGCTCCCCAGAGGTCTGTCGTGGGTCCAGTATTGTTTAATGTTTTCATTAATGATTTGGATGATGGGACTGAATGCACGCTTAGCAAGTTTGTGGGCAGCACTGAATTGGGTGGAGTTGCAGATAAATCCAGAGAGTAGGGCTAAGATCCAGAATCACCTGAATAGACTGGAGAAATGGTCTTCAAAAAATGATGATATTCAATAAAGGCAATGCCAAATCCTGCATTTGGGACAGAATAATTGCATGCACAGATAGAGAGCAGGGAACAAGCAGCTAGACTGCAGTACTGCAGAAAAAGACCTGGAGGTTACAGTACCATAAGCAGCTGGGGTGTGCAAAGCAGGCCCTATTTGATTTGGATTTGGATTCAGCCCAAATCGGGGACAGTGATTTGATTCGTTGTTTCAGATTGCTGTCCCTGATTGGATTCAGCCGAATCCAAACATGAAGATGTGATGCTGATTCGGAGAATCAGCAATTCGGCCTGAGACACAGCTTTAAATATTTTTTCTACATACCTCAAAGTACCAGCGTGGGTCATGAGCGCTGCGATGCTGGGGCAGATGGAGCATCCCACAGGAGTGTGGGGTGGGGTGGCCCTCACGTGCTCGGCAGCAAACCTGGAAGAGGACTGGAAGTACTTCCGGTCCACTTCTCCAGGTCTACCAGGGAGTGCACTGGGGGGCCCTCCCCATCTCCCCCTGTCTTGGCAACTGGCTGCGGGGGAGCCCCGGGTGTCCCCCATAGAACCAGGAGGCACCAATCGCTAAGCCAGGAGGGTGCAGGGGGGGGGGCCGGCATGCTGCCTGGCAGACCTGGAAGTGCACTGGAAGTGCTTCTGGTCCACTTCTGGGTCTGCTGCTGAGCACATTGGGGAGCCTCCCATGCTTCTGTGAGACACTCCATGCGTCCCAGTATCGCAGCATTCATGAGCCACCTGCTACCTACAGGTATAAAGAAAAAAACATTTAAAGCTGTGACTGTGTCCAAATTGCTGAATCTTTCCGCATTGATACAAAGGGTTCTGATTCGATTTGGAGGGATTAAAGGGTCTTCTGATTTGATTCGGAGATTCGGCCACCGAATCAGGATGAATCTCTGCCAAATCAAATCGGAGACGGAAGCTTCACACAGCCCTAATAAGCAGAATATGAGCCAACAGTGTGCTCTTTTTGCAAAAAAACAAAAAAACCCACAGCATGCTGGGTTGCATTAACAGGAGTATCTCTTGCAAATCAAGGGAAGTGATTCGTCCAACACTGGTGAAGCCTGACCTGGAGTAGTGTGTCCAGTTTTGAGCCCCATGGATGTAGACAGTTTGGAAATAGCCAGCACAGATCAACAAACATGATTAGGGGCCTGAGAGGAAAGGCTGAGAGAATTTACGTTGTTTAGTTTGGAGAAAAGGACTGGGGGGTGGGATTTGATAAGTCTTCAAATATCTGAAGGGTGATTATAGAGGGGATGGAAACGGGCTTTTCTCTAGGCTGTAGGGGACTGGACTAGGAGCAATTGCCTCAAGTTTGCAGGAGGGTAATTTAGGTTGGAGGAACATTCTGATGATAAGCATGGCCAAGCATTGGAACAGGCTACCTAGAGAAGTGTTGGAATCTCCATCCCTAGAAGTTTTTGAGAGAATGTTAGACAGACACTTGGCTGGGATGGGTTAATAGGGGCTGGTCCTGCCTTAAGCAGGGAGATGGACTAGACAACCTTGTGAGGTTCTTCCAGCCCCACTTCCTTTGATCTAGCACAAGGGTGAGCAACCCCCAGCACGTGTGCCGAGCATGGCACGTGAGGTCATTTTCCTCGGCATGTGTTGGGGCTGGGGCCTGGGGTGGGGAGGCAGCAGCTGTTTGCAAACTCCTGGCTGCGGGCTGCCCAAGCTGGGAGGCTGCAAGCCCTGCTGGGAGCAGCCCGGGCTCCATGGCTATTAGCAGCTACCCAGAGTCTGGGTCAGCTGCAGCCGGGAGGCTACAAACAGTTGCTGCCTCCTGGCCCCAAGGGGCGCAGTGCTGGCACCTGCTGCCTTCCCAGAGCCTGGGGCTGGAAGACTGCTATGGCCAGGGCTGGGGTGGGAGGGCAGCAGCTATTTGTAGCCTCCTGGCTGCAGCAGGCCCAGGCTCTGAGTAGCTGCTGATAGCCACAGAGCCCGGGGCTGCTTCCAGCAGCCAGCTGGGAGGATGGAAGCCCTGCTGCAAGCAGCCCGGGTTTCACGGCTATCAGCAGCTACCCAGAACCTGGGCCAGCTGCAAGCATCTGCTGCCTCTCCGCTCTGACCCCAGCCCCCCCTGCCTCGCAGTCCCAGCTCCAGGGAGGCAGCGGATACTGGCAATGCTCCCTCACCACTGCTTGGGACCGGGCAGGGCAGGGCAAGGCACAGCGGGGAGCACAGAAAGCTGCCTGCTGCTCCGAGCTCCCCGCTGCCCTGGCTAAACTTCCCCTGGAGGTGGAGGCAGGAGCAAGGGGCAGAACCCTGTGTGCTACCCACACTGCTGCCCTATACAGAGGGGAAG